AGGCGAGGGGCCAGCGCGGGCGGTTGGGCTGCTGGCGCTTCGAGGGTGGCCCTGAGCCGCCGTTTCGGTCCCACGGCCCACAGGGGAAAGCGGGACGGGCCTCTCCACTGCGGGCTGGGCTGCCCCGTGGAGAAGCCGAGTGAAGGTGTTTTTCAGTTTTGCCACTCTTAAATCAGGTATCGGTACGTATCGGTCAGTTTTGGTTACTTAACACAAGCCAGAAAGGGTTTCCTGGATCATTAACCACAGACGGCCTCGGTTTCAGGCCTCGTGGAAGGCAGCAGGTACGGTGGTGTCTGGTAAAAGCCAAGCTCGGAATTTCCAGGTGAGAGCGTCAGAGATGTCCAGCCGGGTCAGGGTGCTGGGCTCCCTCTCGCAGGTCTTCACAGCGGCTCGACGACACTCAGAGAGTGTCTTAACCTGTGGTGCAAAGCCCTTGTGCTGCCCTGGCCTCCACAGGCTAGATTTGCTTGGGAGCGTGGGCGCCTTAGCATCTCGTCCTGAATCAGTGGCCCGTGAAGTTGTCTAAGTTCCTTTTTGTCTGCCTCCACAAAATGTTGTGGCAACAGATCCCACATTTTACATTATCTGCTGTGTAAAGGAAGGGTTTTCATTTGTGTTAAGCAGATTTAAGGGTTATATCTCTTAAGCACGGAGCATACAGGATGTTAAGCATGTGTGTAACATGACAAAAGTAGCGTAAAGGTAAGTACACAAATTTAACGACAGAAAGATTTAAGTTGTGCGATGCAGAATTCCTCACATCTTTGGGTTTTATGCTTAGTAAGGAAGGAGGCTTCAGAGACCCAATATATATCACTTTTGCCTATAAAACGAGACAACATTTACATTTAAAGATTCTTTTAGCTCAACACAGCTTCTGGTATTCCTTTCTGGTGTTCTACTCTGCTGCAAAAAAAAAGCCAATACACACACTGTTGTAAATTTTTTCCCCTGTTTTTTCAGGTTTCAATGGATTTAACAAGTTCCTTTCTATCTTTAAAAGATAATGGTTTTGTAAGTATCTCCTGATGTGCTGCCTGGAAAAAAAGTCTGTATTTGGCAGTAGTCTCTCTGAATGAAGGTTTGCGCTGGGACTGCGAGGACAGTGCTTCTGAAACTTCTTGTCTCACCTTCTTCCATCCTTTAATACTTTGGACATTCCTCATTCCTGCCTCCTGTTTCTGGAGGGGGAGCCCCGTTCCCAAGTGTCTGTGTTACAGATTCTGTTACAATTTTCCTGTCCTACCTCGCTCGCCCATCTGGCTCTGGGGCATTTCTTAGGGGGATTTCCTTTTTCCTAGTGCCTCCCTTGATTCCTACACTGCAGTGCAGCAAGTAGTCTGGATGGGGCTTTCCCTGGGATTTGTCGTGTTTTCCTTGTTATTTTTTTCCTTCTTTCAGGTTGAAAACTGTTGTCTTAGGCCATTTTTCAGTAGAAAAAAAGTAATCCTTTGTTATCAGCTTCCAGCTGTGGCATGTGCATCCTTCTGCTTTCCTGCACTCAGTGCCTTGAGCGAAGCAATTTTTTTTTCCAGTTTTAAGTTATATGCAGATGGGGATTTCCCTGTTGCTTAATAGGCATTTGAAACTGGACAAAGGAGTGGAAAAAATTATTTTTTATTGTATTGTTTGTAGGAGATACCCAGCATTACCAAGAGAATTGACAAGATTATCTAATTTAGACCTTTTTCATGCCTAAATTTCATGGTTCACGTTCAAGTTTTATGTAATCTTAAGTAAAAGGGAGGGATTGTTTCAACAGGTCTCTTTGGATTTTTTTTTTCTTTTCTGCAGAATATTGCAGCCATAGAAACAAAACAGAACAGAGAAGATTTTCTCTCTTCTTGGGCTTTATCCAGTTTTAGCTTTCACGTGCTTATGAACTTCTGCCCTGAAGTACTTAAATTCTGAAATGCTTCTTTTATCACCTTCCTCCTGCTTGATGTTACCTTTTATTGTCCCATCTCCCTGAGCCTGGAAGCATCCCATTTTGATTTTTTTTTTCCTCATTAGGCCTGTATTATCTTTTTACAGTCTCTCTATATGCCGAGAAAGCATGTAGATAAACATTTGTGGGTTTGAAGGGCTTACTTCCTTGGGGAAGAACATAGAGACAACTTGCTTTTCTTGTTTATCAAAATATTAGCCTGGGAATATCTTCAGTTGGATAGTTAGCAAATAACTGACCAGGATCTGTTTTCTTAGATTTTGATCCTATTCAGCCATTAAAATAGTTCAATGATTTGGCCTAAGTGTCGGAATGCATTTTTAAAAAACTATGTGGTGTGTGCTATCCTCTGGCATGCAGATTCTAGGAAGATTTAATTACGAAATATAATCGGTCTCTCAGAATACATTGGACTTTCATTCAAAATGCTTCGTCCAGCTGCAGAGGGTTTATTTTTTTTATTTTGAAGACTCATTTGAATGGTTTGGTGTGTCTCAGTTACTGCCTAATGGAGGGGAAATCCTGTGCTTGCCTTTTCTTTTCTCTCCAGAATATAACAACGCCTGACCCTTTTGGCACGTCAAAAGATGAGATGGAAACACTTAGACAAGAACTGAAGGAATGGAAGGCAAGTTCTCTAAAGCATGTAGAATCGTGGAAATCAGCTGAGAGATACTTGGAAGACCTTTGTTCCATCCTTCTGAAACCAAATCAACTCTCCCCCAGTTATTACATGTTTGTCTAACTTCTCTCTGTTCTTCAATGGCACATGTTTGTGTTGATCTCAGTGGTAACTACACTGAAAAATATTTATCCAAAGTGTTAAAAATAACTAAATATAAAGAGCTTTCTTAAGGTTTTGTTTGTTCCCATGGAAGAAAAAAAATTTTGAAATCTTTTTACTATCCAGGAAAGAGTTGAAAAAGCTGAAAAAGCACAAGCTGACCTTCTTCGCTGTCAATCAAGTGCCGATGAGGAGTACATTAAAGCACAGAAGGAGCTGATGGAGCTACAGGACTTTCAAGAGAAACAGCTTAAGGACATCATGATGTCTAGGGACACCTCTGAGGTATGGAGAAAGCTCACTTACAGCTGCTAGCATTCGGGGAGTTGTGATCAGAGAAATCCCAGGGCAAGTCCCATCCAAACTACTCGCCGCAGTGCCTGAACTGAATCAAGGGAAGAGCCACCTTCTAATTGTGGATGGCTGGGACTGACTACGTCTGCTCTGTTCCCATCTCATGCTGTTGTGTTCCCTGTCCAGGAAATGCTGGATTTAGTGACGTGGGCTTTAGGATTCACTGGTGAGGAGGAAGTATGTAGCAGGTAGGAGGTAGAAGAGGTGCTCCCTCTTCCTGGAAAGGCCTGGGCAGGCTGTCCTGTGGGGAAAGGCTGAGAGCACAGAGTTTGTTCAGCCTTGGGGAAAAAAGGCTCAGGGGAGGCCTTGTCACCGTGTGCCAGTGTTTAAAGGGTGGCCACAAAGAAGATGGAGACGCCCATTTTACAAGGAGTCACATGGAAAAGATGAGGGGCAGTGGGTACGAGTCACTCCTGGGGAGATTCCGATTGGACACAAGAGGAAAGTTTTTCACACTGGAGTAATCTCCCCAGGGAAGTGGTGGACTCTCCAGCATTGGATGATTCTAAGATCCAGCTGGACAGGGTGCTGGGCCATCTTGTCTGGACCGTGTTTTGCCGATAAAGGTTGGACCAGATGATCCTTGAGGTCCCTTCCAACCTGGTGCTCTGTGATTCTGTGTTTCCTTGCCGAAGAAGTGTAAAGAGGGAAGAGTAGCAGCATGTCAGAAACTGTCCTCACCTGGGAAACTTTTCAGGACAGTGAATAACAGTTACTAAGCTCACACGTGGTACAAAAAATGAAATGTTTGTGTGTTGACATAGGCTCTGACCTTGCATGTATAAGGAACTGACATAACTGGGGGAGGCGCGGGGCGATTTGTGTACGCTGCATGTGCTTGGGAACACTCCTGCCTCCTGCCAGAATTCCCCTCTTACTGTAATTTAAATTGACGGGAATTGCTCCTTGGTGAGTGAATTTACCTTGCGGATAGTTAAAGCAATGCAAAAAGCCTATCATGCGTGGCTGGCGTGTAGGGTGATTTAGAGCTGAAACTGTTTCTAATGTCTACAGATTTTGCTGAAATACATTTTTGTCTTGTATGCGTTCAATTTGGCCTTGAATGCTTTTTGGGCTGTAGAGAGAACTCTGTGTGCTAACCCAAGAAAACGCTGAGCTGAAGAGAGAGATCGAAAAGCTGACAGAAGACCTTGCAGAATGTAGTTCAGCGCCGTCATGGAATGGTCAGGTGAAGTTTGAAATATTTTGCAATTTGTCTTTCGGAAGGGCACATTTTTGTTTTGTCAGTTCTAGACCGTTTGGGCCAGTTGTTCAGCATTTGAACCTCTACTGGTTTCAGTAGCTTGAAGTTTTATCTTCTTATTTTACCGGGCAAGATACTGTGAAGCAGGCTAAGGATAAGGAAACGAATACAAGTATGTGAGATACTGAAAACATGAGAGGAATGAAGACAAGCAGAAAGTTATTAAATGGAAGGCACTGAAATTAAAAAATACACATAGCATTGGTAATTTTCAAGTACTCAGAGGATGAAGTAAAGGGAATAAGTCCATTATATTGCAAATGTAGCGTTTATTTTAGCCTATATTGAGCTTGACTGGATCATAGTCTCTCTCATGTTGCTCCAAATCAGAAATAACGCAATTTGCAGCCAGATAAATATTAGTGATACTAAATAGATTTGAACTTGGGATCGAAAGAGTCTTCTGGCGAAACTGCTGCAGATTCTGAGGAGTTCAGAAATTGGAACTTCTCTTGTGGAAATTTCAGCTTTTAAACCCCTGTTTTCATTCCAAATTGGAACAAACCCAAATCTTTTGGGGAATTTACAGCAAAATGAAAACTGCGATGATTTTTTGTTCGTACAGAGGTTGAACCTCTGTCCAAGTGTTACGTTGTTGAATGTTAACATGATGACAGTATTAGCTTTAGCTTTCTAATTGTCATTTCTAAGTTTAGGAGATGTCAGCTAAGTCCAGCCACCGAAATTGCCTGCGCAGTCATTGGACGGGGCGAGGCTCCTCTAGAAGAGATTCGGTGTGAACGGGGCCGACACCCAGTGACTGAAATGCCGTTAGGAAGAGTGACTCCTTCCGTTGGCAGCAGGGGGAATGGAAAGAAAGCAGGCTCCTAGATAAGGTGGTGGGTTTGAAGATAGGTGGCAGGAATCCTTTAATGACTCTGGTTATTTTACCTTGACACAAACGGTGGTTTTCTTCTACACAGGGTTCTGTGTTTGAAATAATTACCTAAAGGGGAAGAAAAAGTTATCAGAAACTCCATCAAAGCAACCTTTCCTAACCAACCTTTTCATCAACAGTTTTGATTTATCCTAGTTATACAACACTTGGATATTCTTATCAGCTGTACTGAGTTGGCAACGTACAAGGCTGTTTATTAGCAGACTTCCCATTGCTGTAGAGCAGTGATGCGATTAGGCAAAACCAAATGGCGACATGAGTGACTCTGATCCTTGCATTTTTCAAATTTTAGATACTAGAAGTATTCGGCTCCTGCAGGTGGAAATCCCTCTGGACTTCAATTGAATTTTTATTGTGTAAGGTCAAGTTTAAGTTCAAAGTTAATCAAGAGGAAAAAAAAAAACCCTCATGGACAAAAATCCCAGGAATAGACAAGTACAACTGGTCAGTTTTATGAGAAGAGCTCTACCTGTTTTACCAGCTGTGACTTCAGTCTGCTTGACTGTTAAACTTTAAAAAGCAGAACATAGGTAGAGTACCGTTAATTTTTCTGTTCTGCAATAAATTACAGAAATGATTTTTTTCCCTGTCTTGATTCTAAAATACTAGATCAAAAAAAAGGTAGCAGAAATAAAAATGAAGTTCACCGACATGAAAATCGTGAAGGATGGTTACCCAGATGTGGATACTCACTGTGTTTTTGGTGTAACTACAAAAATCCCATTCAGACTGAATCAAAACCAGGCACTGCTTACTTTTGAAGACGAAGAAGGTACGATGCATGTTTTAAATATAAAATGAATGTCTCTGGTGCATTTCGTTGCCAAAGGGAAAAGATTTACGTAAATATTTTGGAAAAAAGAATCAACAACAGCCAAAGGAAGAACACACAGGGACCCTTTCACTGTTGTGATACCAATCAGTAGGAAAAAAAATCTTGCAGGCACTCTGGTTTTGTTGCATTACCAGATTTCTGCTCTCAGCTAATACAAACAGTATGTGCTGTTTGAAACTGGGAATATGTTTCTACCTCACAGAGTATTGTCAAGAGTTATTCAAAGTGTTTCGACAGCAGAATTCGATTCTTTTCTTTACCCTGGGCAGCACCTTGTTCTGACAGCGGTTGTGTGGGTTAAGTGTGCACGTCAGGTGGTGGTAGATCTGAGACGACAGAGGGATGGTGCAGTCTGTAACTCGCCTGCTTCCCACCGAGAGGGGTGCTTGCTGTCGGCACGGCCTGGTGCCTGCCTGCCAGGAGCCTGCAGGCGCTCTGGCTGGGCCTGCCTGGGGAGTAACTTGGTTACACAAGTTTATTCCAGGCACAAAACTAGCGCCTGATTCATGTCTTTCAGCTAAAATCTCACGTAGGCATTCCCCGCACCTGGTGGTGATGTGGTTTTCATCCAAGGATATTTTAAATGAAAGATGAGAAGTCTAGTGTTGCTATTTGATACAGCGAGAGCATCTTTAGACAGCACAAAGATTCTACTGTATTGCTGTAAAGACAGAATAATATTTTGCCTGTTGCCTGTAACTGGTGAGATTTTATGGAAATAGCCGTGCCTGAAGACATGGATAGTGGGATCTGGTTGCCTAACTGTTACCTGTTTCTCCTTTATTGATGCAAAAGGAGATTTTGCTGAAGAGACTGAGGGATAGTTTTGGTTTTATAATGATTAAACAATGCTTTTTGTATCTGAAAACTTGTGGTTTTCCCTAGTTGCCCAGAGGCTGCTAAAAATGGGTAAACACACTGTGAACCTGGACAACAAAGTGGCAGATGTGAAAGTGGTGCCTTTTACACTTGAAATGGGAATCAAATTTGAGGTAATTAACTGAAATAAGAAATTATACATACACGAATTTGCAGCACTTAAAAAGCTTTAGAGTCAGTTTTTTTGGGTGTTTTCAGTCACAAAGTGCACAAAAAACGTATCTTTTTAGCTCCACGTCACTATTTCTGGAAAGAAGATCAACGTTTCAGAAATACCCGAGCTGTCCATTCCTGAAGACTGGATGAGGGACAAATTAGAGCTGAATTTCTACAAGTCTGAACAGGGAGGAGGAGGAGAAGTAGAGAACGTGAAGTATGACAAGGAGTCCAGGACAGCTGTTATTACGTTCCTCAGACCTGGAGGTACAGTGGGCAGTGCGGTGTTAGCTGGCGTACAGGCCGTGCTGCCGTCCCGCGTTACATGCTGTTCCACACCCCACTCTGTGTTAACTTCACCACTGAACGGAGCACGTTCTTCCCACGGAGAGTTAAGTAGATCAGGAAAAGATGGGGGTTCACCCACACATCTGTAAATCAAGCGGTATTTCATCGTGTTCCTTTTTGATCAAACGTGGCCCGATAGGTAGTTTATGAGCTTCATTTCTTAACTTCGTCAAAACTATCTTTTTTTTTTTGCGTTGCTAGACACTCGTATTGCAAAAAGAAAACTGGGAAAATGTGTTTGATTTTAGCTCGTGTTTCATCACAGTGAAGTGGGACAGGCATTCAGATTGCCCAACTGTACGAAATCCTATGAAGATTGGTGGAGCCACGTCTATTTAGAGCAGCTGCTTTAGATTTATTTCAGAAGCTTTTGTGGGTCTTTAATGATTTTGCTTTCTTGGAAATGCCAAATCAACTTTTGGCAAAATGCACATGAAGTATCTACAAGTGTGCTATCATACGTTAGTTCCTAAATCCATATAAGAAAGATTAGTCTGTTCTTTGATATGCTTACCAAAAATGCATTTTGGATGATCTTACTCTCACTCTTCTTGTTTTCCATGACAGCAACTAACAGCTTTGTGAGATGTACTAAATATCCTTTCTTTATGAACGGAAGGTGCCACAGGCTTTCTGTTTCCCCAGACACCGACGTATGCTTGGAAAAGTTTCAGGTAAAAGCGCTTTGTGAAGCTGAATAGTGAGTGTGAGTCTGCAGTATGCTGCTCTGCTGATAATCTAGTGCTTTGCGGTGTGAAAGCTGTAGTTTGTTTTAAAAGGGTGTGCATGTCTCTGCTTGGTCAAATTATATCAGCACTTCCCATAATGTCTGTGTAGACAGGAGGCACATACTGAGTTGTTTGTGGAGCAGGTCAATAGCAGACACGACGACGTTTTCCCGAGTCACAAGGCACTGTCATATTCATCCCTGATGAGGGGCCTTGTGGATAGTCTCAGCAGAGACCCTCGTTCTGGGTCTCATTTTTTTCATTCGTTCATTCAACCTGAATACTGACGACTCCTCCCGTAGCACTGGTCTGCTGGCTCATCATATTGTCACTGAAATTGCCCTCTGCTTTGTGTGACTGGATTGTCACCAAGTCAGTGGGGCGGCTGTAATCAGGCCTTTATCATGAAAGCGTTGGCTAGAGCCTGCGCGTTTGTGAGACGCCCCAGCACGCTTTGCAGGTGCGCACCGTGGATTGGCGCGGGTTTTTATGGAGGGATGCTGGCTAGAGCCGTCAGAGATCCCCGAATCCAGCGTGTGTGTGCGTTGAGGAGCGTAGGACACGCCGGCTGAGGAGGCTGGGAGCACGGCCCCTTGAACTCGGCAGCGTGTGAGAGCTCGGAGCTCCTCCTGTTCCCAGTGACAGAATACACCACGCTCTCCAAAGGCTTCAAGTGTGATCCCAGGTCCCAGTCCTGTCTGAGCCAGGATGTGTTTATTTCCTGTACCTGCCAGCTCCTTCAGATGGACGGGCTACCGCTGACGTGTAATACAAGTTTGTTTTTCTCTCCTCAATAGCTCTACGGTGGGGTTTCAAAGAAGACCATTCTATTGAAAGGAATTGAAGAGATGGAAGACGATGAGGAAAGTGTCCAGGACATGATTGAAATTCATTTTCAGAAGCCTAGTAATAGGGGTGGGGAAATAGAGAAAGTCAAGTATGTATCCAAAGGAGCAGCGTGGGTTTGTTTCGAGGAGGATACTTAAAGTGCCATATAGGAAACTGTAGATGGAACTCCTGAAGGTCTGAGTTTCTGCTTCATCAGAGGCATAGGAAGTTACGCAGACATGGTGCTCTAATGTTCTGAAATTTATACTTGAGAAGGAGGAACTACCTGTCTTTCTGATTTGTGTAACAGCACAGACTTCGCATAGAAATTCAGTAAAACTCGGTGTTCCAGAGCTTCCTGATCGACGTCCTAGAGAAAGCCTTTACCAGCACGGGAAACTTAATCTAAGATTGCCTTCTGCATATTTGGGTCTTGTGAATTTTAGGCAGGTCACGTACTCCAAAGTGGGATAAATCTGTTCCTTCTTGGTTACACAAGCCGCATGTAATCCCAATCAAAAGCATCTTCACAGACCTGCTTTTTTAAGGTGCCGTAGCTTCAGAAGGCGGCTCTGGCAGAACTCCAGTCCTGCTGAGGCTGCTGCGAGCCACCATAACTCAAATACCTGAAAGCAGTTATCCCGGAATTTCATAAAATCCACATTATCAAATTAGTGATAAAATTAAAATAGAAAAAGGGAAAGGGAGAGTGCAAAACCTCCACGGATTGACCCAGGAAATTGCACCTTATAACAAGTGCCGTAGTGGTAATACTGCTTTTAGCTGTCGAAACGCTGTTACTGATGCAAATTCTGCTGAGCTGATAAGCTAATAGCCTGGCTTATTGTTTGGTTTTAATATTTGTTTCTACAATTACATTTTTCCTCATTTTTGTTCATGATTTCGCTTACTTTACTACAGTTAAGAACTGAAGTGATTCTGTATCTAAACCAGATTGCTTTGTAACAATGTCGGCATATAGAGTTCAGAGCAAATTAATATTTCAGCCTGTAAAGTCCTGCTTTTGTTTCCAGTTCATCCTTCCAGTTCTCATTCTAAAATATCTTGAAATAAAACGGAAAGCCAGAGAAGGATTTATTTTCCAAGGAGGAATGTTTTTCTTGTTCTGCTGTCATCCTTTTAATTTGCTACCCTTGAGGGCTGAAATGGTTTGGCAACAATAACGGTAACTTGGAAGTAGCATGGGTCTAACACTGAAAATAACTTATTTTCATGGTGTTGGACGTCGTATGCAGGAAGAGGACAATGCACCAGACTGGTGCAAGAAGAGCGCTACAAACACACCTCAGGTATTACTATTCTACAGCAACTGCTAGTAGGCAATAGATCCAGTTGAATATGGGAAACATGAAGGCTGCTAGCACCACAGCGGGCTTTGAATTGACTGCTGGGTGAGATATGTGGGGCTGTAGCACCTCTTACTGTTTAGTGCATGCAAAGGCAGGGATTGATTGCCTGACAGTTGTGCAATGATTAAAAAAAAAAAAAGGCAGTAGTACTGGAGATTTTGTGGAGATGGTGTATTTTTGGATGTAACAGTGTTAAAATGTTGGTAAGATCAGATGCCTTAAAAAGAAAGGGGGGGAAATCCCAATGAAGGTAAAAATCGCCATGAATTTTAACTGTACCTCACTGCTCTATGTTGAGAAGTAAATCCGTAGAAAAAGGGAAAATTTTAAAGTTCTCGTAAGGTATCACAGCGTGTGGGAGTAGCGAGACACTGCACGTTTTATGTACGTCAATCAAGATGAGATTCTAAGCAACACTTTAAGACAATCAGCACTTGTAAACGCCTTGCTTTCCTCTCTGGTGGACTGATTGTATAAATTTTAAAACAACAGTGGTGCCACGTAAAGGCTGGAAGACAGTTTTAATGATGAAAAACAAGAATACAGAATTTAGGTGGCGTTTCTATGAATGGCAATATCCCATTTTCTACCTGCTGGAGTGCAGTCCCCTTTGACTGGAAGTCTGAAGAAGAGTTGTGACTTTTTTTCTACCCGCGCTCAGTGCAATCGCTTTCCGTCCGTCCGTCCGTC